TTTGTCAATCTATTGTCATTCATTATCCACCATTTGTAGAAGAGATTAGCCTTAACAACAACAAAAAACTCCATCTTTGTCCAAACCTAATCCACAGAGAAACACACACACTGAGATGGACACAAATCCAAATACTTCTCTAACACTCACACACACACTCATCCATGTCGATTAAGAAGACAAAGCTTTTTGATCCTCGCCAAGAGACGGGCAGAGGAGGACAGACCAACCACAGCAGCCTTCAGAAAAGCTTTAATCGCTCTGTATTGATTGTTCCTATTTTTGGTGAATCAACAACAACTAGTGGGGCTGAGGAGTTTTCTTAATATTCCTTCTCTCTGAGAGCAGGTCAGCCAATTTCACCCTCCCCAAAATATCCCATTTAGATCTCATTTATATTCCTACCAGTGGCAGGGATGCAAGAACATTCATTTTTCCCAACATGAAATATGAAATCTTACAATATCTCCCTTCTTATCTAGGGGGGAGCGACTATGAGAATAGGCAATCAATATTCTCTTTAGTGATTCACCACGGCTTCTCCACCCTGATGTTTACTCTGGCTTCATCATCTGCCTACAGGGTAGGAGGGCCTGCATTTATTCCTTTTTGTGACTTGGTTAAAAAGATATCCAAAAGGAGGCTGGAAACAAGACTGCTCTACTTGCAAGAAAAATAGTACTTGACTAGAGATGACAACATTGATTTGTCGGGTCAAAAGAGTGTAATTGAGGCATGACATTTTTGCAACAAATGAGTGTTCCTGTAAGAGAAATGACACATCCCTAGTGTAGCTCCGAGTAAAGCCGTTTACATATAAGGTTTGCTGGAGATAAACCATTCAATATCAAGTGTTCATCAAAATACATTAAAGACACACAGCTGAGGTGTCAATTTCAGTGTCAAAAACATCAAGCTAGTAAACAGATGAGTCTTAAAATGGTGCTGTCTTTTATTCATTCTAATTAACAACCTCACAAAGCTTCATTGTAATTCATGTTTGCCAAAGTCATCCATCAATCATCAAGCTATACGCACGTAAACACAAACCTTCCTGCTTATATTCTAACTGGGGACAACATTGGAGTTATGCAGTCAGATTGTAGATGTGTTTGATATGGGTACTCGACATCCTTGTAAACATGAATGAGAGGTTTACCCTGCCTTTATTTAGCGCATAGAGAACGCCAGACTCATCACAGTTCAAGTTATTGTGAGGGAAATATGTACGGCCATCTGGAGGGATTTTCACACAATGAAAAGAAAAACGTTTTGGGCATTTGTTTATATAAATGTTGTTTCACTTTGTATGGGATTTCCAAATAAAAGAAGAAACTAATCAAATGTGAGAAGTAGGCTACGGTGTGCTTATTTCAACCATTTCTTAATGTATAATTATTGTAAATACAGTGAGAGAAGAATTTGGTCATATCTCCCACCTCATTTATTTTATGTTATGGCTGATCAGACTGAATTAACAATGAAAAAGGCAGCACGTTGTGAAACATCTAGCAGTCATTTGACCTACTTTTTTGTTCTTATTTGGACAAAGTGGTAAAAATGAACTGATAACACAAATAAATAATGAATAGCTAAACTCCTAAATCAAGCTGTTACTGGCTTTGAATCCGGTACGCTGTGAGGAAAAGCAGTCCTCACGATAACATGGTGCACTTAAACAGTATAAAAGCTCACACATGTTGTGTCTATGTATATTACTTGCTATAAAAGCAGCTGGCAGCTTATTCCTTCTCCCACAAGCAGCAGCAACATGAATGAAGCCCTGCACATTCCCTCAGATAAACCTGAGCAGGTGAGGATTGGGAACCGACACTAAAACAGATACTGCGTGTACACACTGTCTCTCACTCATGTATAATTCATTGTAATAAAAAGGTAAAAGGCTATTTTCTATTCTCAGTCTTTTTATGTTCTGGACACCATTTATTTATAGGGCTTAGATAAAGGTGAAGTCATCAAATATGTATTATAACCTCTTCCACAGCATTGAAGGGAAAGCATTATTTTTCTAGATAACTTGATACACTCAGTTGATGCCAATGCAACGGACTATAACACAAGTCAATCAATCAATCAATGTTTATTTATATAGCCCAATATCACAAATGTTACATTTGTCTCAGTGGACTTTACAATTTGTACAAAATATCAGTATGACAATACGACACCCTCTGTTCTTAGACCCTCACATCGTACAAGGAAAAACTTCCGAAGAAAACCCACAGTTTAAAGGGAAAAATGGGAGAAACCTCAGGGAGAGCAACAGAGGAGGGATCCCTCTCCCAGGACGGACAGACGTGCAATAGATGCCGTGTGTTAATTGAAAAGATAATACATTTGCAACATAGGTAGTCCAAATGTTTGGAAATGCATGTGTGTATAATAGGAAGATGAATCCACGAGGATATCCATCCAGGACCTATGATCCAGGACCACAGCCACGACTCAAGATCCAGGGCTCGCGATGCAGGACCGCTGGATCATCCATGACTCCGGATCCCGGCGTATATAGACACCAAAAAGAAAGACATTTGGGGAAGCTGGGTTAATCGGAACATGAGAGTACACAGGTATAGACAGAGAGAAGGAAGAAGTAAGATGTCCCCCGACAAACTAAGCCTATATCAGCAAAACTAGGGGCTGAATCTAATCAGCCCTAACTATAAGCTTTATCAAAAAGGAAGGTCTTAAGCGCACTCTTAAAAACGGATAGGGTGTCTGCCGCCCCGAACACAAACTGGAAGCTGATTCCACAAATGTGGAGCTTGATAAGAAAAGGCTCTGGCTCCCATTGTACTTTTAGAGACTCTAGGAACAACCAACAACCCTGCATTCTTGGAACGCAATGCCCTAGTAGGACAGTAGGGTATAATGAGTTCTTTAAGGTAAGATAGCGCCTGCCCAAGTGTAGTCTGACTTTTACTCGGACACATCAAACGTTTTTTTATCAAATCAAATCAAGTTTTATTTATATAGCACATTTATAAACGATTTTTGGTCGAGCCAAAGTGCTGTACATATAATAAAAATAGCCTACAGTTGAGACACTTTACAGCAAATACAACAGCAAAGATTGTTCAGAATATCAGTATGAGAAAAACGACACCCTCTATCCTCAGACCCTCACATCGTACAAGGAGAAACTTCCAGAGAAAAATTGTATCAAATATATTACAAGTTATGGCAGTCTTTAATGGATTATTCTAACTAAATCCCCTGTGCCAGCCCTTCAATTTTATTTGGTTTAATTAGTATTATTAATAAGTATTTAGTTATTTTCTCTTCAATTGTTTGTATCTAAACATCTGCATTTTCATGTGCTTTATTCTCCGTTTAGTATAATTGCAAATCAAAAACATTTGAAATAAGATAAAAACGTTGCAGCTTTTTTATTCTCAGTCCTTGGAATACTTCCACTTGCCACAGCAGATGGTTGATGTTGACAAGGGCATACATATATATATATATATATATATATATATATTAGGGCTGAACGATATACCGTGTCATGGCGATAACCGCGGTATGCGCATGCGCGGTATTCACACCGCAAGGACGTGCGGTTTTATTCATTTTTTTTAAATGCTAACGCAATTTAGCACATAATTCAAAATAAAGATACCCTTATTACTTATCGAAACTGCACATACAATATATCCGATTAAAGCTGAGACTCCACAGATTATTTAAGTATAGTATCTAAGCGATCCGATCTCGCAACAGGGGAAGCAAACACAGACATCACAACACGTACCTTTTACGGAGCTTTTACGGGAGATCGTCTCACCGTAGCTGTCAATCTGATCAAAAGAAGTGTTCAATGGCATTAAAACGAGAAAGAAAAAACGCGGCTGAATCGGTTGATCCATAGGTTGATAATGTATCTGTGGTTTTGAAGCAATTGTTTATAATCCATAATTCCATTTTTATGTAAAAATCGGAGCACAAAAGTTAGCTGCTAATGGTAGCCACCAAAGTGTATGCAGCTTCCGGTTTTGGCTACGCGTCACTCTCACTCCTTATTTGTTCATGTGTTGTGTGTGTAGAACTTCCCCTGCATGCACAGCAAACCACCAATCACAATCACTCTTGATCAGATCACAGCAGGCCCCGCCCCGCTAGTTTGCAGACCATCAAAACACTGGTAAAAAAAATGAGCGAGGCACAGGAGGACAATACCGGAGAGAATGAAGATTTACTTCCAAGAAGAAAAACAACATCTGCCATCTGGAACTATTTTGGCCTATGGAAAAAACCTATGGATTAACCGATTCAGCCGCGTTTTTTCTTTCTCGTTTTAATGCCATTGAACACGTCTTTTGATCAGATTGACAGCTACGGTGAGACATCTCCCCTAGAAGCTACGTAAAGGTACGTGTTGTGATGTCTGTGTTTGCTTCCCCTGTCCGAGTTCAGATCACTCAGTGATGATAGGCTACTATATACCTAAATAATCTGTGGAACCTCAGCTTTAATCGGATATCTTGTATGTGCAGCTACGATAAGTAATAATAAGGGTACTTTTATCTTGAGTTCTGTGCCAAAGTGCGTTAGCATTTTTCGCTCAGGGGTCATTTAGATGCTTCTTATGAGACTTGTGTTTTGTTTTGGTAAAAATGGTTTGTATCGTCAGTTAGCTGAGATTATTTCCGTTAATCTGGTATAACACATTAATAGGTTCTTAAATATTACGATCCCCTGAGACACTGTCGTGAAAAAAAAGTAAAGTACCCGCCGGGACTTTGGGGTTTAACAGGTTAAAAAAAACGCAATATATACCGCAGGGGGGGGGGAAAAAAATCGCGATGTCAGTTTTTTTCAATACCGTGCAGCCCTAATATATATATATATATATATATATATATATATATATATATATATATATATATATATATATATATATGTGTGTGTGTGTGTGTGTGTGTGTGTGTGTGTGTGTGTGTGTGTGTGTGTGTGTGTGTGTGTGTGTGTGTCATTACCTGTCTCCAGAGGTGAGCCTGGCAGTCAGACAGTGTAACAGGGGGCAACGACAACAGGATCCCTCCACCAAACCTCTGTCAAGCATGATAGGACAGCATGTAGTAAGTGCTGCCGAGGCCCCGGAGACATGCTGACACACTCGCTCACTCACAAACACACACACAGGCGCTTTATGTGCATGTTGGAGTCTGTTTGTGTATCACAATCTCTGTGTTACACTAGCTGGTGCAACTTAACACTCTCAATGGGAGCCTGACAACAAGACAGATGAGTCTGACTGCACCGAGGATCATTAGCGGACTCCCACGCCACAGTGTGTGTCTGACTCAACACAACTTCTCTGGGATTGTCCCGTCCCATCTCTCAAACCCCCAACAGACCGGTGACCAGTCCAGACTCATCATCACTCACATCAGTCATCCCATTACCCGGCACACGCGCCATTGGCTTGATAGTATCATAACATACTGGTTTTCCCTTGAGCTGTGCCGGACAGACAGTTGTTCTAAGAGTTGTTTCTTTGTGGCATGGGTTTTTATGGTGAGTCTGCACAATCGTTTTATCTGTGAACAAAAATGCTGACCTCAGACTATCTGATGGCGGACAGAGGACTTTATCTTTCATATTTGGAGCTTCTGAAACTTCATCACACAAGGGCCGTTCATGTGAAGTAGTACCTGGTTAACTAAAGGAACATCAAAAAGGAATATCTCCTCTACAAAACATTACTGGCTTCTAGTGTTAATTTCGTTGACTAAAACTATGACGAAATATGTTGGTCAACGACCTTTTTTTCCATGACGAAAACGAGACGATGACGAGACGGCACCGACGGCAGTAAACAATAACTGCAACGAAATCATCATGCAATATCGTTGACGAAAAGTGACGAGACGAAAATGTAGTTTACTAAATAAAAACTATGCCAAAATCTCTCTTTACTTTCGTTGACGAAAAATGAGGAGACGAAATATTATCAAAGATAACGTTACATTTCTGATAGTCAGTTTTTCTCCCAGCAGTTCCATTTCCGGTGCTGCGGCTGGGCAGCAGCTGTGTGTCTGTGCTGCGCGCGGCGGTACATTTGAATTACAGCGGGCAGCGGCACACTGTGAACTGTCAGGAAGACTCGGGTCTAACTCATGGTCTAACTAACCTTATTTAACAGAAAATAAAATGGCAACAACAGGGCTTGGGAGCAGTGGTCGCACTCGCGTTAACCAAATACGGTACCCCCCCCGTCAGCGCGAGTGATTGATAAATTGTGCACTCGACGGATAATAATGGATTATGACGGAAATGTTACGATCCTGTCCGTCAAAATTACTGACAACGAAAAAGTCTAAAGCCACCACTGCTTGGGAGAAAGAAACAATGTGATATTGGGCCCATTTTCGCTACAATGAGGCGGAGAAAAAAAGCGAATGCATTGTTTCATCAGAAGGGAAGCAATGTGGCCATAACACAGCTGGTAAAAACACCACAAACCTGACCAGATACTCTGCAAAGCTTCTTAATCATTCAACCTGTGTTTTTCATCAAATAAGGACAAGAAGATATAATCTTATTTATATATACTAAAATGACAAATTATTGTTTTTTTCTAGACTAGTTTGACTGAAATGTTCTATACAGTATAATCTGATGACGAAAAAAGACTCAACAGTTTTCATTGACAAAAAGTAGACTAAAATAATTAGTTTTCTTTGACTAAAATGCTCAGACTTTTAGTCGACTAAATCTTGACTAAAATAGTTACTGTTTTAGTCGACTAAAATAGTTACTGTTTTAGTCGACTAAAATAAGACTAAAATGCTCAGACCTTTAGTCGACTAAAACTTGACTTAATAAAAACAGGATGAAGGTGACTAAATATGACTAAAACTAAAACGGACATTTAACACAGGACTAAGACTAAAACTAAATTAAAAAATAGCTGACGAAATTAACGCTACTGGCTTCACCTTATTTAAATCATTTGATGGCAGAGACAGGTGTTGGATAAAAACAATCTAAGGGATTTGAGCAAAATGGAGAGGTGGAATCACAGCTCCTTTATTAGATTTAGAAAGATAAATGAAAGCAGATAGGTAGATTTAAAGATGAAGGCAAACATTTGAGGAGGACAAGCCATAGTTAAAGTCTGTCTATACTCTGTAAGGGAGCTCTAATGAAAGGATGGGACATTTTAGAAGTTTTTTTTGCAAGCAGCTCATGAAAATGCATTTAAAGACACACACGCTATCTGATAGCAAGGTTAAGCAGTGAAAATATTCTAAAATGTCCAACTTTAAATGCTGGAATTGACATTTGGTTGCACCTTACCTCAGTACTTCTGTCTGTTTTTCTAAACTGGGGGCAGTTTGGCCGGTAGGTAGGTAATACGCTGGCTATGAAGTACCTCAAACTACTCACTTAATCATCCAAACTATCCATTAAATCTTAATCTGGACCAAAGAGGAGGACCGACAGACCAAGAGCCATCCTTAAAACTCAAAACAACCTTTTAAAACGACAAAGGTGCTGCCATTCTAGCACCATGCACTCGGGCTGCAGTAATGACTTTCCCCAACAGCAGCTAACGCTAAGTGTTTCCCCGGCGAGCGCACTGATTGCCTTTGGCTGACCTGGAACTGTCTGCCCTCACCTAACAGCTGTTAGCAGGCTCAACCATCATACAGTCCTAACTGGAGTTCAGCTACTGAGAGCTTCTCACTGGAGAGGCAGTGAAAGATGCAGTGACAGCCTCCATAGCTGGCTGCATTAATTCTCTACTGGCGCTTAGAAATGAAGCTGAACTGGAGCATTTCAGTGTGTGAAAGAGAAGAGATATAGAGAGAATGGAGAAGTGTATATGACATAAAGCTAATTATGCCTTGGGAGAAATATTTATGAATTAGAGAGAAGGCAGCCGAATCAGTGTTTACTCTTCAAGCAGATTATCCAAGACTATGCAGAGAGAGAATGGATTTGCAACAACTGTAATACACTTGCTTTCCACCATGTTGCAGGCAGCTGTGATGCAATTGGCAATGTTCACATATTGCCCGCATGCTTTGTGTGTACCTGGAGGATTAAAACATATCCATTAAGCAGCAGATAAGGGTTCAATCAGCCCTTCTTCTTGAGTTGCATATTTGTGAGGAACAAACATAATGGCAGCACGCAACAGGGTTACTGGGGCAGGGTCTGCAATTTCTCAATTATGATCACGTTTTTTTCCAACAGTCCCATAATTGAGTTCAAGTGGTATCTTGTAAACAGCTATAGGAGAGAATTATGACCTGGTCAACTTAACAAAAAAACAGTTGTCAAACAGTAAAGGTGTGTATGTTGAAGTACATGGGATTTATTGTTTTATTTGAGTGTTTTTATCATGCTATCGAGTTAGGTATCCACATTCTTTGAATTGCACTGGTATTCTTGTCTACTACTACATTTCTGGTCCTGTGACGTCACAAGGGACCACTACAATAGTAATAACATTACGATCGAGCCAGAAACAGCAATGCTATGAACTATTGCAGCATACTAGGAATCCACGGATTTTACTTTTCTTTTACCCAAACACATTCCAACACATTAGTGTATCTACAATTAACAAATACCCAACTTTATCGCAACTGGATCAACAACAAGGTCAATAATGGCCCAAATTCATTGGATAGAATTGGTTACTAAAAATGTCATCATCATGCACTCACATATTTTAAGTATATAAAAAGGTGTATCAGTAAATTCTGACGTTGACCTTTTCTGGCATCAAATCTACAGGGGCCACTTTAGCCACAGACCCCACCTTACATTCCCCCTAATGTCTATATAATGACAATTCTCTGTGTCTCTGAGAATGTAATTGTGCCCCATGTTCCCTTATATACCCAATTACCCATCAGTTTTTTGTGCAGATCCTAATTACGTCCTGCAAGGCAGAGATGGCTGCTGGTGGCAATCTAATCTAATCCTCACCCCGGAGACTAATAAAGGACTTAATATATGTGTGTGTGTGCATGTGTGAGAGTGTAAAATGGGCTAGAGCCCTAGGATTTCAGATGTCGTGAAAAGTTAGAGGAAAAGGATGTAGTAAGCGGTTAAATTCGTTACAATGATTCATGATCACTATAACAGAAAGAAAATGGATCATGAACTGGCTTTTTTAATTACAGACAAGATCGTACTGCGAGTTGGCAATTCAGGCAAGATATTCCAAGAGAAAGGGACGCAGCTTTTACATTTGGGACATTCATGAAGCAGCGGACCAATTCAGAAGAGTATAACTAGATGTATTATTCAAAAAGACCACTAAAGGACATGCCAAGCCAAGCAGCTATTCACTGAGAGCAAAGCCCTGATGAAAGAAAAGTGATTCAAATTGAAAAGAGCACTCTGCTATTATTATTGCTGGATAGTAATCATCCTTAAATAATATGTGTCTTTGGAAATGGGACAACTGTTTAACCACTACTGAATGATAAACATGTTCTGCTTAATCACATATGCGCTCCACTAGCTCTAAGAATAACCAGTATTTATCTAGATCTACGTGATTGGGCGAGTGTCTGGAAAACTAATAGGGAAAGCAACATTAAGCACAAGCACAGTAGAGAGACAAAGCTCCACTGAAAAAACTATTAGTTAAAGAAATGTTGTCAGTGTGCTGTGAGTAAACTCTTTCTAGCTTCTTTCTGGAGTTGCCTTAGTTTACTTTTAGTTACTTATTGTCTTTTAGAGGCTGTAGCCAGCTCAATATTAAGTAAGAGTGAAGATACTTGATCAAGAACACTGAATGAAAAGTGATTCTATAGATGGAGTACACACAAGTCTCTCATTTACAGACAGGCTTACTCAATTCAAAACCACACAGTTTCTTGCAAGTGTATAAATAAGAAGATAAATGAATACAAAGCGTAACCTGTTAAGCCCTGAGCCTGTTTTCCAGGTCTCAGGCTCGAAAATGACATGCCCAGAACAAATGACTATATCTTCACTTCTAAAAAGGGTTAAATTAATAATCTTTTTTCTCAAAGCAATGATACACCTGTGAGTTGGATGAAGAAACATCTACAGTATCTGCTATTTAACATTATAAAGCATTTGAAGCACTCTGTCGCTCTCTAGAGAGCATGCAGATCAATAAGATGTAGTATCATTATAAGAGTAGGCTTTAAATAAATGTTTTTAATTGCTGGATAAAGCAGCAGGCAGACATGTGTATCATGTGTCAGGCCTTATATTAGTTATTGTGATGTACTGTGCTCTTTGTCTCTCTCTCTCCACAAAAAGGAATGTACTGGAACAGTTTATAGAAGTTAATGTGCCTCTGCTTGGAAGTGAAAAATATCTGTTATTGAACACTCTGCTGTGAGGACACGGCGAGGTTGTTTTTCCCCGATAATATTTACTTGTGGGCATGTTTACAAATGTACATAATCCCATATAAAAACAACTTGACACCGTCAACCACCAAACACGAGCAGAGCAGCGGGAGAATATCAATCACTTCAGCAATCACCTGGAGGATATAATATTTCATGGAAAAGTTTGATATAGGCTTGGCTGCCTTTTGAAATAAATCCCAAGGTGTGACGCTCAACACACACCCACATCCGCACACATACAACAACACAGGCTAAGACTTTGATCCAAAGCCTCTTACGGGGTTTTGCTGATTTTTTCACCCTAACATGAGCCCACAGATCCTCCTCTCAGCTCACAATGCAAGATACCCAGTGTCATTAGCTGCATAAATCAAAAACACACGGCCAGACGAGTGTGTCCGCGACATAAGACCTTCACAACTAGTGGACAACGTTGACAGGCATTAGATGGAGTTGGTGCATGTTAGGCAAATGTACATTTGAGTTCTGGCTGCTGCGTGTGTTGCAATTCAAACATGTCTAAAACAATTATGGAGTGTTGGACAGGACAATCTTGTTTTCCTGTGCCGAAAGTAAAACCACAACACTCGCTTCAGAAATCTTCTGGAAAAGATGTGAAAGCTGTGGCATTCAATATCTGTGACCTCATCACACGGTATTCTTAAAATCTCATGACATCACTAAACTGTTGAAATAGGGACTTGGAAATGTGCTATACAATATCCCTTCCAAATCCAATCGAGTCCACTTAATGTAGCACTAATTGGATAATAAATATTGCATTGCTTATCATAAAAAGTATATGTGTGATAAAAAAGTTGGAAATGTAGCATGAAGCATTTTTTTTCTTTTAACTTCTTTTGACTGATAAACAGTCTCAGCCCAATGAAAACATTCAAAGTTTACTATCAAAGACGATCAGCAAATGCTCACATCAAAGATATTAGAGAATGATTTGCATGGTTGCTTTAAAAGATTACAGTATTGATTCATAACAACGTTTTTAAATACACACTGATCAATTGGACTACTTGTTTCAGCTCCATACTGTAGCAATCGATTTCAAATATTTGTCAGGGATACTTTATATAGATTTTTGATATGTTTGCTTTTAATATTGTGATTCTTTCAGAGGCTGATGAAGAGTAATCCAATATAGTACAATCCAATATATAATCCATTGTTTATGCCATTGGTATTATACCTGGCTTCTTGATATTCAGTCATCTTGACCTATGGTGGCTGCATGACATTTAGAAATATGACAGTACAGCATCAATATGGTATTATAAGTTTGTTGTTGTTGTTGTTATGTACAACATTAAACTACACTTTTGCACTTGAATTTAGTGCCAAACGTGAGTGTGTATTTTCTGACTGACCTAAATGTAACACACCCCCCTTACAAGCTACAGTACACCACCCTGCAAACACAACCAAAACACGTCTAAAACACATTTTTACAACAACTAATGTGAATCAAATGTGTACATAAGACTTAAACAACAATAAAACACTGCAAAAAGTTCAATTGTTGCTAATAGCATCGAGAGGCTATCAGTTTCAGAAGACAAAAGCACTGCTGTCAAAACACCAAAGCGTGTCAAAAAGCTAACGGTTTCCAAAAAATGTCCGAACAAGAAAACTACGAAATGCGGGAAAAGTTGTCGTGAGAGCTTGAAAACACTTACCTTGTTTGACACACTTGAGTCGGACGGGGGTCTTTGCTGTGTTTGACCACAGCATGGACGTCCCTGGTGGTGAGTCCAGCCACCGGGGGTATCATTGACTTCCAGGAGGAGTTCATCCGTCCACAATTTGCCGCTGTGGCACACCGCTGTGCCCGGGAGAAGCTCGCCGATAACCGGGAACTGTCCATTCTCTGCGCCGCCCTTCAACTCCAGCCCCAGCTCCCCCTCCTCATTCCTGCAAAGGACACTCTCATGGACTTTGTTAGTCCAGTGGTTCTTCCTCTTCTTCAGGGTCTTGGACATGGCTCAAACAAGGGAAAATCACATGAGTGCGGTCGTGGAAGAAGTTTTTCCGTTCTTTGAAGTCCCCCAGTGTCAGCGCCACACTGATGTGTCCAGTTTCAGCAGTAAACGCCACTTGTATCCATGTCAGCGCGCAGCAGCTGGATCATCAGTCTGCCTTTGCATTAACTGGGAGCTGCTCAACTTGTGATGCCTTCAAGCGATATCTCAAAGATCGGTATTGACAGGTTCGCTGTTCAAAAGCGACCTAGTGAAGGAGTACAACAGAAATTAGGATAATTAATGCGATAGGCCTACATTGAGCTTAATTATTAATCTGACTGGTTAGTGAAACAACCTGAAAGCCAATTAACAACTAACAATGGTTAAATAATTCATGTTTATGTTGTTGATCAAAAAATATATAATGGTAATTTAATTGACCTACACACTTTTTGGCCCAATTATATGTTAACAATGTATCAACACATTTGTGTTTTTTTAATGAAAATAACTTTGTTGAAAAACACACTAACTCAACTATATGTGAGGAATTACTTCTACAAGTTTGTTTTTGTAGTTCTACCACTTTAAAGAGATTTTTTTTTAAACAACCAGGACATCCTTACATTATCGTTACAGCTTTTAATGCAACAAACCTCGTTACTTTTTAGAAATGAACTAACACAGAACAATCGTAAAGTGCCAAATGTTTTCAAAATTCATCAAGGAGTTGTTTACAACTTCTAAACTTTTAGTCTACAAGTTTACGAGGGACACCTGAAGGCAGCATCCAGCTCCAACAAACCCAACTGACCCGGATGTGAAGGCTGCAGGAGGAGAGAGGCAAGGCTTTTCCCAAATCCAGCTTTCCATGGAAAAAAGGAAAAGAGAGAGAAGCTGAGTAGCGGTATTTCCACTGGTATGGCAGCAGAGCAGAATACAAAGTTTTGACACCACAAATATGTCTCTTTTTTTGGCATTTTGCTAACAGTGACTTCATTTGCTGCAGTTTATAAGCTTTAGAAAGTAAGATCAACTGACTCAACAAAAAAAATAGTTTTTTTCCCAGCTATTTACTGAAAGTGGGATTATCAGTTACAGTCTATTTGTGTCTGATCGAGGGGCCTAAAAAGATAGTTTGTTAAACATATTTTCATTATATTTGTTCAGGTGAACTTGACAGAACATAAGAACATTAAGAAACTCATCCAAGGGCATCAAATACTTCTCAGCATCTTCTCCATAATGATATTTATATTTCAGAAGTATATACAGTTCTCTTTAGCAGCATTTTTTATTCACACACTCAGCTATAGCTTTAATAGTTTTGTAATTTGCCAGAAGAAATGGCTGGAAAAGGAAAAATCCCCCCCATCTCGAACTAGAGTGTATGACTGAGTATAATCCATCTTCAAACAAATGTATGTTCTGGGTATTTTCCATCACGGGTCTTTAAAAGCCTCTCCTTACATCTCTTCTTATTCAGTTACTGAGCTCGTATTTGGTAATGATAGTTTTGCCGCTTTAATTGCCATAATTGTATAGATATACGATAATAGCAGAGTTTTCTCTAGTGGCAAGTTAATCCTTTTTTAGACTAACAATCGTGTTTTTCTCATAACAAATGAAACATTCCTGTAATGACTAGGGTTAAGTGCACTTGTTTCCCACAAAAGGCATCATCATGTGTCATTGATTCTACTTTATTCAAAAGTGTTTTCTGGAAAATACCAAAACTAATGTAAACACTGCCAAATACCCGCAGTGAAGTTAGTTTTAGGTTGGGTTTTGGAGAGATGTTCACTCACATCCAAACTCCATCTTTAATCCAAAGGGTTTCATGTGTTTCTTCAATACTTCAGTTATGCTAAACATGTTTTATTGATCATTTTAGTTTCAGAGTCATGTGACCCAGTGACTCCAAATAAAGGCAGCATTATTGTTACTACACTGGACATGAAGACACATCTGCTTTTGCTGAATTGTATGGCATCTTCTATTTTATACAGATACTGTTATTGAAAAGTTTTGATTGCTGTTTTTGATTGCTGTCAATAACCACAATTGTCATGTGACCCAGTGATTCAAAATCAAGGACCAACTTTTTATTAGATTTAGGTCCACCTTCTAACTCAATCTCAATATCTTTATGAAAACGTAGCAGTTCTTTTGTTGTATTTTTTAAAGAGATTCATCATTTATCTGTATGCTAAATACAGTATGAAGCTGGACCGAGGCGGGAGTTAGCTTAGCATTCAAAAACTAGAGTAAAAAAACAACAATTAGTGGTGTATGCATTAAACCCTTTTTTGTGTTCCTTTGGACAGAAGTCCCTAATGTTATGTTTTCTACAGTCGATCTAATACATAGCAAAATAAGTTAATAATTCTCAAAAAGAGTACTTCTTTAAGTATATTCAATGCAAACAGTTTGAAATTAGCCTTTAATGTGGAATATAAACTCTCCAAATTCCCAGAATAAAATAACAAAGGATGCTCTAAGTGTGTCCTCAATTTAAACACATCAAAACAGAGGAAGAAAAAGCAGGTATCTAACAGACAGAGCTTTAATTTGTCCTCCAAAATGTTTTGCTGCCCCTGAGTTGTGATGGCAATAAAGCCACAGACAATGAACTTCCTCCTCTTCTGGATTTGGAAATAGCCTCTGCATTCCAGAGGTGGGAGCACCTGAGGACTTAGAGAGTGAACATTAAAAAAAGAGAAAGAAAGTGAAAGAGAAAGGGAATATTTTATCAAGGGCAGGAATTCTGGAGGCAGTGTTTGAACAAGGATAGGAATGCTCTGCGCGTGGCAGGAATAAGTGCCGGGAAGGAGAAGAGAACATCAACAGTGCGGGGAGTGAACTGGAAAAAAACATAGTGGGATTAAACTGTGCGAGATATGCTGGGTGTGCAATGAGCGTGGGTTGATGAGAATGCCACTATGAAACATAATGTGTATGTTTAGAAAACAACAATTCCTGTTCGTATAATTATTCCATGTGACATGCACACAGAGCAGCTTTTAATTCCTTTTGTGCAGATTCACATTGCAGGAAATCAGTCCATCAGTCACATCTACACGGCCAGATGGGAGTTCATTGGCTCAGCCAGTGATGCTGCCCCTGGGATTGCTCCGCTGCTCTGCTACATGATGTAATGGTTATGACAGGCCTCATTGCAGGATAATTAAAGCTGGTCAGGAATAATGCGAAATTGCCCAATGATGGCTTCCGCTGCCAATGTAGGAGGAAGTTATTACCCACTTTGTCTGAGCGGACACTGTCATCCAGCAGAGTCATTTTGGGGATTTGGCTGCTTGTTTTTTACAGACTCGATACGCTTGAATGATGGAGCAGAAGCTGCTCTTTTCAAGCCGTCAGTGTGGTCAATTTGTCTTTTTCAGTCATCTGACCTGTTTATGTGGCTGCCATCTGCTCGACCTTGCAGCATAGGAAAAAGCTCCCGTCCGTCACTCTGTATCTTCCTTGGCTTGACCCCCACGAAGAAGGAAAGGGTGCCGAGCAATATGCAGCTGAATCTGGTATACTGCCAAAAGCATCTATGAATTAGCTGGAACTGGCAGAGAAAGGTAAAAGAACACTATTCATTTTTGGCTGTTTTTCAAGGTTTGGTCGAGGCTCCAAAAATAGCAAGGTGGATACATAAACTGAAATGTAACCATATGTTAACACTCAATAGAACAAGACTGTAGAGCTTTTCAAAGAAGAAATATCCAATTAATCCGGTTATGACCAGAAGATTTTGATGGCTAATGTTAGCTAACGTCAGCCATTTATAGTTAGATGTTGCTTTAGTTACATGACTAATTCATCATTATCTGACAATTATTACTTAAACAGGCTCCCTTTGAATCAAAAATGATAAAACATCTGTAAACAAGTCATGAAAACGGCTGGAGACGCATTGAACAGTACAAATTGTAAGTATAAACAGCAATCTTTATCACCACATTGTCGACATTGACATTTTAACTAGGCTTAGCAGAAAAAGTCCCAGAGAATGGTTCAGTATGTAATATCTGTACAGTATGAAATTATGAACACTCAAACAGGATACTGGCACACAAACTATGTCCTGACTCCTGGCTAATTGTAAGAGCACTGGTGACTCGTTTATGCTTTCAAAAGTTTTAGTTTGCAGTGTGAAGAGCCCTGCCTCTTTTTAAGTGCAAAGCCTCTGGGAGGTTTCAATAAGAGCTGTGGCCCTGCTGCTGGCTGTCCAGTGATGAATTAGTCTGTATACACTAACACTCAGTAAATCAGAGAACCTCAGGGGGAAACTCTGGGCCTTGATTTGATTGCCCTTTGTGTAATTATAATGGTGTTTTGCTTTCAGTTCTGACCGCTGTTATGATTGTCTCTTCTCCGCTCTGCCGTCTGATTTTTAATTTATGTTGTTCGTACCGCCAATGATTTGGGCAGGAGGAGACTCGGTCTAGCACTCAGGGACATTTCACAAGTCTCTCCACCGACACTTATCATCCCGACTACAGCCTCCCTCCCTCCCTATCAGCACATACAGATAAGTACCTTTCCCACGGTGAAGGCTTTAACTGCCTCGAAGCCTGGAGAGAGTCCCACCGATCGCTCCAGCAAAACCCAACTCTGCTACCCTCTCACTTGGGGAAAGTTATATCCTCACTATCAGCGTCCATCATCTGCCTCCACCGGTCCATCTTCAGAGGTCCATCGTACATCAGAGGGGCGGCGATGACACTGTGGCCACGCAATCAACGGCGTGACAGCTTGATAGACTTTCAATGAGCCGCCTCTCATATCCCGTCACAAGCATATCTGACAAACCAGCAGAGAGAATTCATCAAACTAGGAAGATAGTTTCCCGGGTCTGATAGAGATAACGTCTAATATTTCCACAAACAGAGTTGGTTAGCTCCGTATGAAATGCACCTTTATCTTCCCATGAAATGTGGTATATTTAGAAAAAACAATAACAGCTTTATTTGTCTGTGTGTTGTGTTTTGGGTTGGTTGATTGACAGGGGAATTATTTCAAGTTTGTGAGAAGATTGGAGTTTCTAAAAAAACTGAAATTGACTATCAGTCTTAAAGGTTCAAGTTGTTTGAACTCAATGAAAACATACACACATACAAATGGCAATATACTGCATTTCCTTTCTCTTTCTTGCAACTTAGATGATATCTGTAAATACATGTATCTATCAAT